TTCTTATGCAAGGGGAAGCCACAGGTCAATCACCTCCGCATACACCACCAGTCTATATCGGTCCGAGTCTAACACCGACTGAACGATGCAGTCTTATGAAGCTGCTCAACCAGTTCAAGGACTGCTTCTCATCGACATCACGAGTGGGTCGAACAGCTCTGACTAAGCATCGCATCATTACTGAAGACACAGCAAGACCGTTCCGACAGAACCCATGTCGCGTCGCTGAGAAAGAAAGTGAGGTAATCCAGCAGCAAGTCAAGAAGATGCTACTAAATGACGTAATCCAGCCATCAAAGAGTCTTTGAGCATCGCCAGTGGTACTCGTCAAAAAGAAAGATGGTACCTTGCGTTTCTGCATAGATTATTGTAAGCTGTACCACGTTACGAAAAAAAGATGTTTATGCATTACCACGAATCGATGACTCTTTGGACAGGCTACGGCATGTGCGCTACTTCTCATCAATGGACCTTAAAAGTGGATACTGGCAATTAGAAGTAGAGGAGCGCGACCGAGAAAAGACCGCCTTCGTGACACCAGACGGGCTTTATGAATTCAAAGTCCTTCCTTTCCGTCTATGCTACGCCCCGGCCACGTTTCAGAGACTAATGAATACCATTCTGTCCAGCCTGAAATGGAAAACATGCCTTGTGTACCTCGGCGACGTGATTGTTTTTTCGGTAACGTTTGAAGAACGTCTGAAGTGGCTACTGTCAGTCCTTCAAGCCATACTGTCCGCTGGACTCGCACTCAAACCGGAAAAATGCCACTTCGGCTTCGAAGAACTCCAGTTCCTGGGACACGTGGTCAGTCGTGTAGATAAGGAGCCTGACCTAGATAAAACTGCAGCCGTCGCAATGTTTGCAAGGCCTGTTGATAAGATAGTGGCCAGGCGTTTCCTGGGTCTCTGCGCCTACTACCGGTCATTTATAGCAAGCTTTGCACACATCGCCTCTCCACTCACCCGCCTTACAAGGGAAGACGTTGCGTTTGTATGGGGTGAAGAGCAAGAAGTTTCGTTCAAAGAGCTGCGACAGCGTCTACAAGCTCCACCCGTCCTCGCGCAATTCGACGAGAATGCACCAACAGCCATCTATAAAGACTGCAGCAATGAGGGCGTAGGTGCTGTTTTTGTCCAATGCCAAGATGGTGTGGAGAGAATAGCTGCCTACGCTAGCAGAACGTTGACACGCGCCGAGTCCAACTACTCAACAATGAAGAAGGAGTGTCTTGCTGTCGTTTGGGCAGTTGCGAAGTTCCGCCCGTACTTATATGACCACGCTTTCCAAGTCGTAAGCCACCATCACTGTCTTTGTTTGTTGACCAACATGAAAGACCCATGTGGACGTTTAGCACGATGGAGCTTACGGTTCCAAGAGTACGACATGGCCGTAGTTTCAAATCCGGAAGGCATTACTTAGACACCGACTGTTTTTCAAGGTGACCGAATGAATCACCGGCTTAAGAGGATGATGAATTCCCAATTTTTTAGGTTGTTGTTGTTTAGTTGTTGATGCGGCTATCACTTCTCGGCAACAACAAGATGATCGGGAGCTCAACTCGCTTATAGAATCCTTGAACGAACGAGCCGCCAATGCACCAAGAGTGTTTTCGAAGAACTTATCGCCATTCTGTTTACGGGGCGGAATTCGGTACAAAAAGAATTTCTCATTAACTGGTAGAAGCTATCTGCTGGTAGTTCCTGAAGCCCTCCGCAGCGAAATTTCAGAAGCCTGTCATGACGAAGCCACTGCGGGCCACCTCGGTTTCACAAGAACACTGACACGCGTCAAAGAAAAAAAATATTACTGGCCAAGAAGCGCAGCAGAGGTGAAACATTACGTCCGAACATGTATTAACTGTCAGCGGCGCAAGGCACCACCTGTCAAACCCGCTGGGCTATCACATTCTGTTCCCGTGCCATAAACTACGTTTTCTCAAATAGGAATGGAGCTGCTGGGCACATTCCCAACATCGGACAGCGGCAACAAATGGGTTATAGTGGTGACGGACTACCTCACCCGGTACGTGGAGACCAAGGCAATTGCGAGAGGCACTGCAGCTGAAGCGGCCCAGTTCTTCATTGAGAACATTGTCCTGAGACATGGTGCTCCAGCTGTCGTCATAACAGACAAAGGTACCGCGTTTTCAGCCGAGCCTTTGCGCACTGTGCTTACGCTCAGTGGCACAGCGCATAAGCCTGCCCGCATCTCAATAATCAACCACCAGTAACTTGACGCCCAACGGCACAGCGCATAGGAAGACGACAGCTTACCACCCACAGACGAATGGGCTTACAGAACGACTTAACAAGACAATCGCTGACATGCTTTGCATGTACGTCGACGTGAAATACATGAATTGGGACCGAATATTGCCGTACATCACATTCGCGTATAATACGGCATGCCAGGAAATAACGAAAATGACACCGTTCGCACTAATTCATGGCAAAGAAGTTACTACAATGCTTGAGGCCATGCTGCCTTACGATTGCAATGATCGACACAGACGCCGCAGACTTCACTGAGCGCGCCTAGGAAGCAAGGCAGCTTGCCCGCGTCTGAATAATCAACCACCTGCAACTTGACGCCCAACGGTACAACCTTCGCCATCGATTCGTCACTTTTCAACAAGGAGATAGAGTCGGGGTTTGGTTTCCTGTACGACGGCGAGGCCTTTCGGAGAAACTCGTACGCCGATACTTTGGACCCTACAAGGTTTTGCGCCGTCTTAGGGACGTGACGTACGAAGTCGTGCCCGACGCCTCCTCCTGTTCGAAACGTCGTCAGCATCTGCCCGAGGCAGTGCACGTGGCCCGCATAAAACGTTACCACTCTGAGTGATGTAAACACCCATTGGCCAAATCTCTACCTGTTGAGAATCGGGACGACGCTCACTCTGACGGGAGGGTAATGCCGCGTGCATAGCTGCATTTAGCGGCGAAATAGCGACAACAAGGAAGATCGCGGATTAGCTCGAGAGGCGCAGCGCAGGTGAGTGAAGAAGACGACAATCTTAGCGGCCTTCCTTTGAGAGCGTCTCTATGAGTTCCACTGTCCGCGTTCCTAAATAAACCCTCTGTAATATATATATATATATATATATATATATATATATATATATATATATATATATATATATATATATATATATATATATATATATATATATATATATATATATACATATATATATATATATATATATGGTGGTTGAGTGGCCGTAGCGTTGCATATAGTCCAGTAGATCCTCCGTGAGCGGTCACAACGTGGTTTATTTCGACGTTTCGGTCTAGAGTCTGGCCTTCATCCTGATGAAGGCCTGACTCTAGGCCGAAACGTCGAAATAAACCACGTTGTGACCGCTCACGGAGGATCTACTGGACTATATATATATATATATATATATATATATATATATATATATATATATATATATATATATCCTCCTGGCTTCCAGGTTGGATTTTGGTCCACGGAATTTCCTGAAAATTTCACAACTGGGTGTGTAGGTGACGAAGATAAAAAGTGAAGCTTATTATTTCCGTTATGCCTGTGCTTTTGGTATGGCGTGATGTCCAACTAATTGGACGCTGAAACTTAATTAAAGCGTTAAGTAGTGGGCCTGAAGCAACACAAAGCAAGGCTACTGAAGAAAATTGTGACAAATTCCGGAATAACTGCAAGCTATTATTCAAAATGTAACAAATAATAAAAAACCAACAGAAAAGTGGACCTTAACTTTCGCCGTTTAACTTCTAGAAGTTGCCCTGTTGAACGCCACCATGTTTTCTTCTTTGTTTCGCGATCTCCTGGCGCAATTTTGACAAAACTTCATGGAGGGCGCCAGTAGATGTCCAAAATATTGGACAAGTGGTTTTTGAGGAAGAAAACATGCTGAGATCTTTGTAGTGATGGGGTATCTCATGTCCAATATTTTGGACAAATCCCCATAGCTGGAACTCAGGAGGATATATATATATATATATATGCTAAAAGTACCTGCAGTACAGAAAAAAATATTTCGCATTTAAAATGACAAACATGGTAAATTGTTTAAGTTAGGTGAGTGTCAGGAATTTAAAAATGTAGGTATTTGAAACTGCAAATAATAAAGCACGGTGGATATTGCCTACGGTATTTGGTCTTTCTCTTTAAATAACTGTCTTGGATTTTCTACATTTTAAATTTAATATTCTGCCGACACGTATGTGGTTTACCAAGAAGCACCGAAGAAACCCACTTTAATATTTTTTTTATTTAAATATAAACTACTTTGTTTGAAGTTAAGGTAAGGTGAATACGTGGGCGGGGACGGCCACGGGCTAGGTGGAGCGACAAAATAAGGTGGTATAAAATGAAATTACTTGGCACAGAACAGGGCGAATTGGAGGTCATTGGGAGAGGTCTTTGTCTGGGAGTGGACTTAAGCAGGCTGACAATGATGGTGATAGAAGAACTTTTATCTTGGTGAGTTGGTTCGCATGTTTGTTGAAGGTGTTATTTGTGGCACAATGCTTGGAACATGAATAGGGGAAAACGAAAACGTAGACAGATGGCACTCATCTGCTTTTCTTTCGTGTCTTCATGTTCTAAGTATTGCGCCACAAATGACATGTTCAAAAAAACGATGATGACGGCCTTAGCCTAAATGAAGCTGTTAATTTGAGCTAATAACCTGGCTAAACTGAGTGGGTGATCCGGGGAGGTGCGCCACTCATGGCGGCGGGCGCGCGCATTACACCGGTGCCACTTTTGATTGGAGAGTGAACTCCGTTGGCACACAAAAATGACGACCAAGAACATGGTCGCAGGACGTAAGGCTTCTGTTTATTTTTAACTACGTTGACGTATTTGGTACATAAATACTGTTCGCCTAAATGCGTAGTTTAAGTAGAAACTTCCTTTCATGTGTGCCACGAGGTCCAGTTTTTGAAGCTTCTGACCGTTGGAGCTTGTTTTCTCGCTTTTTAATTTAACCATTTCTTACTTTCCAGCAATTTTAAAGTCGACTACTGCGTCAATATTACTGCTTCTGACTCTGGAAACTTTCCCTTCGGTCCATGCGATGGTAAGTGGACTCTCATGAATGCACTGTTTTTTCTTCATTGATCAGTGCCTTAAAACCAATCATTTCCATTCTTGCCCATCATAAGAGATGATTATGCTTCTATTTATTCATAAGTAGTGATGAGGTAATTGAAATTATTCATTTCCTCAACATCCCAGCAGCCACAGTTCAACCGTTTCAGTATATAGAAGCTTCACTTCAGTATATATCTGCCACGAATGAGCACAATGAGGTCACAAAGCTGCCCTCGATTATATCTGCAATAAATGTAGTTGAGTCAGCGGAAGCGGCCACACCTGATTAACATACCTGCCGCATGAATAAACTGGTTGCGTGCGGTCGTTCAGCTCTTGAGCACGTGTTCAACGGTTCCCTTGTCGGCGCTAGCAGCCACAGAGTAGGAAGAGGGGAAGGAGGGCCAAGTGTGAAAGCACTCATGCGGTTGGCTCTATAGGTGTAAGTTAAAAGGTGGAGTTGTTAATAGCCCGCGCAGCGGCATTGAGACCTCAAACTCCTGGAGCCAATGGCTGGTCTCCAAAGTGTCGCTGCACACGTGGGACGGCTAAGCGATGCAACACGGCACACAATTTATATGTGCAGTATTACTGCGAGGTGCCTATTAGATATCGAAATCCAGGCAAGGCTAACTTCTGACAATTAACTGACACCTTTTTAAGGATTCGAAAGTGCATTCCCGAAGTAAAAAAGGAGGAATATTGGTAAGAAGACGTCGTGCCTTGTTTAATGACATTGTTTACCACTCTGTACTTCAATCGTGACTTCCTTCGTTTCCGCCAGTAAACAGAACTCACATATGAGAGCGAATCTTGCCGATTTAAGTTTGCGTTGCTTACCTTACCCGAAATGAAAAAGAAAAAGCGCGGGCGCTTGCAGGCTGCGTTAGAGGAAACATGGCCTGTGATGCAAGGAAGCCTAAAGAGGCTCCCGTCAGAGGCCAGATATTGCTGCCTCCCAACCATGAAAACCGAGAGCTGAAGGTTTCCGACCTGTAATATGCACAATCAGCTGATGAAGGCTCATGTTCGCAGTTTACATAAACGGACACGAGTGATTCTGTGACACACTCGTGCTGCTGATTTACGCGGCGTGGTTGATTTGCGCTCCTGAAAAAAAATGTTCCTGTGTTTTCCAGACATAGGGTCTCTTGGCACGGCTCAAATGCTCTTCTTTGACGGTCACAGCTGCTTCGGGGGCATATTTCCCCTTTCCGGCACTCAGCGTAAGTGGAGGACACTTTTTCGCTAGAACCAAAGGTGTTAAACATTATACACGGGATCTTCAGCGGTTACAGCAAGCGTTCTCGCTGAAAAATGATAGGAGTAGTTTCATCTTGCGATTCACTACGCATGAATTGACATAGCGGCGATCGGAATAGTAGGAAACTTCACACACATACTCAGGATAGACCGTTGCATGTGCGTTATGAGGGTTTTTATATTATAGGCTGAAGTATGACGTGTATATATCTATCGCGGCTTATGGATTTTTTTCTGAAAATTAGTTCATGAAGATAAGACCTTTATACATTCGAGATGCATCATTTGGTTCGCGTTTGTGAAACTGGGGTCGCATAACTTTCGCGAAACACAAGCGGCATTCATTACACACCTGGTCAGCTTCATCACGTACAGTGCTCCACATTCGTAGTCATGGCTCCGGGGGGGGGGGGGGGTTGCGCTGACTGACGATGCCACGTTTGAATGGACATATATGCCCCATAAAGTGGTCGGGTAGCTCAGTTGGTAGCAAGTTCTATTTCATCCGCATTTCATTCTTTATATTTATATTACATTTATTACTAATAAAATCCGCTCTCATTCCCTAGCATTATTGCCTGTTGATTCTGACTGATATATATATATATATATATATATATATATATATATATATACATTGTGGGACAAAATATTAGTGAGATGCAACAGGCAATAATGCTCGGGTCTGAGAGCTATTTATTATAAATTTCGAGAAAAATGTAGTTTAGGAAACAAAGCAATAATTTATTTATTTTTACCTAACAATTTCGGCTGGTGGGCCAGCCTTCAGATGACCTAAGCCTAGATCTTCCTAAAAAGGCTGGTCCACCAGCCGAAACTGTTAGGAATGAATCAATACATTATTGTTTTGATTCCTATACCGCACCATTCCCGAAGTTTATAATTTTTATTATGGTAGCCAGAAAAAACTCCGACCATATATATATATATATATATATATATATATATATATATATATATATATCATCAGACTGATTTCAACTACTGCAGGACAAAGGCCTCTCCCATGTTCCGCCAGTCAACTCGGTCCTCTGCTTGCTGCTGCCAGTTTATACCAGCAAACTTCTTAATCTCATCTGCCCAGCTAACCATCTGTCTCCCCCTAACCCGCTTGCCTTCTGTGGAAATCCAGTTGGTTACCCTTACTGATCTGCGGTTAACCTGTCTACACGCTACATGCCCAGCCCGGGTCCATTTCCTCTTCTTGATTTCAACTATGACATCTTTCGACTGTGATCGGAACTCCCTGAATGTGTGTGCATGTGGTTTTTTTTCCTAATTTATTTTATATCTATCCTCTTTCCGACCCTTTTCCCCACCCCCGTACAGGGTAGCAAACCAGTTCGTCTAGGTTAACCTCCCTGTCTCTTCCTTTTAATTATTTCTCTCTCTCTCTCTTAACCCCCGTTTGTTCCCTAATCCACTCTGCTCTCTTCTGTCTTTTAAGGTTACACCTACCATTTTTCTTTCCATTGCTCGCTGCATCATCCTCAATTTAAGCTGAACCCTCTTTGTAACTCTCCTGGTTTCTGCTCCATAGCTAAGTACCGGCAAGATGCAGCTGTTATATACCTTCTTCTTGAGGGATAGTGGTAATCTACCTGTCATGATTTGATAGTGCTTGCCAAATGTGCTCCACCCCATTCTTATTCTTCTAGTTACTTCAATCTCGTGGTTCGGCTCCGCGGTTATTTCCTGCGCTAAGTAGACATAGTCTTTTACAACTTGAAGTGCAATATTATCTATCTCGAAGTGCTGTTTTCTTCCGAAGTTGCTGTACAATACTTTCGTTTTCTGCAGCATAATTTTAAGGCCCACCTTTCTGCTCTCCTTGTCTAACTCTGTATACATGAGTTGCAATTATTCCCCTAAGTTACTCAGCAATGCAATATCATCGATGAAGCGCAGGTTACTAAGGTGCTATCCATTAACTCTTACCCTGAGCTGTTCCCATTCTAAGCCTCTGAAAACCTCCTGTACGCACGCGGTAAATAGCATTGGGGAGATTGTATCCCCTGGCCTTACACCCTTCTTGATTGGTATTCTTTCACTTTCTTTATGAACCACTATGGTACCAGTTGATCCACTGTAGATTTCTTCCAGGATGTTTATACATGCCTCATCGATGCCCTGATTCCGCAGTGTCTGCATGACTGCTGATAATTCTACTGAATTAAACGCCATCTCGTAATATATGAAGGCTATGTAGAGTGGCTGGCTATATTATGAGCATTTATTTATTGAATTAGGGAATAAACGGGGGTTAAGGATATCTAAGTTGAAATCAAGAAGAGGAAATTGTTATTAGTCGAGCATGTAGCGCGTAGACAGGATAACTGCTGGTCATTTAGGGTAACTAACTGGGAGAAGGCAAGCAGTTTAGGGGGAGAAAGAAGGTTAGGTGGGAAAATTAGCTCGAAAAGTGTGTGGGTATAAATTGGCAGCACAGGACTGAGTGGACTGGTGGAAATATATATATATATATATATATATATATATATATATATATATATATATATATATAATTGCACCCGGCCTGTTTTTGACCATCTCAGAATATGTTGAAAGAAATCATGGAGGTATATGTGAATTTGTGAATATGACTATCATAGTTGAATCATTTGTGTTTTAACTTTCTTTCTTTTTCGCTTTAGCGAAGAACTGGAATAGGCTGTATGGTTAACGTTTTTTATAGAAAGCACAAATCTTTTTACCAGTAGTATATTTACATTTAGTGTTTTATTTGTTTCAATATTAGGTCAATAAATTACTGCGGTAGCAAATGAAGTAAAATTGTTGCCGAAGTATTGTAACAAAGTTAAGAAAAACAGCGTTTACTCAAGACCTGATTTTCGTTATGTAGTGTTCCAAGTTTATGCATGTATATATGCATATATAACGCTCGAGAGTAAAGAAAATAGAATAATTGCTTGCTGCCTACATAGTTGCTATTTCAGTAGCGGCATTACTTCTTAAAATGGCTGAGAAAGTTAACTACAGCGGTAATTAACGAAACTATAATATAACGCTTTTTCAGCGAAGATCCATCGCCGCTCTCAGGTTTCAAAAAAGCAACTTCTAATAGTTTCTGCAGAGTAATGAATTTGGACTAAATTTTCGAGGAAAATGGAGGCGCGAATGACCGAAACTACTAGACTACCAAAATGACGGCACTGTTGAGGACGAAGATTGAAGTGGTGTTAGCTCTTCTACAATGATGGACGTGCGTGCGTCATGCGTACTCAAATTTCAAGTGCGTCCCGTACACAAATAGTGAAAATAGTGTGAAGTCGATCGATGGTTGATACAGAAGCCTAAATAATTTGAGATGTACCAGAAAAACGGGATATCTGAGCTCTTCTGCGTTGCGGTTTCACCGGCGAAATTGGTCAGAGTTTATAGATGTGTTGAAAGTACCAGCGGCCGCTTTTTGGAAATCTGGAAAGGGCGTTGGACTCTTTGAAGCAAAGACTATACTTTTTCTATTTGGTCTAACCATACGTTTTCACCAATTAAAGCTCTTAACTTACATTTGTTTGAATACTACAGTAATTGATATTTTAGGCATGTTTTATAATATCTGTCGCTGTAGGCCCGTGTGCTCAGATTTGGGTGCACGTTAAAGAACACCAGGTGGTCAAAATTTCCGGAGCCCTCCACTACGGCGCCTCGCATAATCATATAGGGGTTTTGGGACGTTAAACCCCACATATCAATCAATCAACCAATCATATCTGTCGCAACAGAAAAAAAATTAAGTATTGAGGGAGCAAGCAAATATGGTATTTCTCTTATATTTAAAGATTATCGGACATATATTTAGGAATATGCTGTAGTGCTCGAAAAGCATTTTGGGAAATATAGTCAAACTTTTTACGAAAGCGACGCTTCTAGGGGCAATAAAGAGGATAATTATGTGTCGCGCCTTGGTAAATTAATGCTTCACAATACCGAAAACACCACCTACAACCTCACGGTGTTTGATGCGGGAATCGAAAGACAGCCTCTCCATCCACATTTTCTTTCGCACTTTTTTTTCACCTTTTCGGACTTTTTTAAAAAACGTGCCAAAATAAAATGTGGATGGAGAGTCTGTATTCGACTCCCGCATCAAACATCGTGAGGTTGTAGATTTTGAAGGCGTCCACTGGGTCATACGTGGCTTCATTGATAAAATTGAAGTAAATTGTCATCTATGGCTGCCTTAGGCTTAGCATACGACTTTTGAAAAAATTGTTATTGAGTCGATATGACGAAAATGAGAAGAAGTCTTCTGAAAAAGTTAACGTCACGCGTGGAGTTCTCGGCTTGAATTAAAAAAAAAACGAAACTTTAACGTTCATTTTCTCCCACAATAAAAAAAATTATGATAGTGCAGCATAGCGCAGTTTATCACTTTAAACCAAGCCATTGTTTCTCTTTAGTGTCGCTTTAACGTGCTGTGATATAGCCTAGGTGTTTTTTGCAGCCGGCACTGACACAAATTTTTCATCTTTTGCAGAATGTATCATGTGGGTGAAGGTAGACTCCAAGGATTCTGTGTCGGACGAGTGCCTGCAGTATTATGACAATGAATGCGGCCCAGAAAAATACAAGCTGTACGATAGCGAGCAGTGCACGTAACCCTCTTCGTCACGTCACGTCGGGTTGTGTACACTTCACTAAATGTGGCGCTCACATCAGCGGTTGGGGCACTTTTGTGTGGGCGCTCCAAAATAAAATAATTTCAGATTCTTTACCAGATTCAGATTCTTTCAGAACTTTACCAATACTGAGCCAAATAAAAGCACCATATTATCGATGATGTTTGTTATGAAGGAAACTATGTGAACGACGACGAAGAAGCAAGAAACGGCAAGCCACAGCGTTGGTGCACACGTGCGACCCGTGCTTGCGCTTGTCTTGTATTTTCGGCCTGTTAACGTTCCTCGCTCTTCTGGCATTCTTTGGCCTTCCAGTAGGTCTATACGTAAATAAACTACGTGACATCTGGTGGAGGTGTGTGGACTCCCGTACAAACCTGGAACTTCGCTCCCGTAAGCTTCCCCCTCTACGGGACACGAACATGGCCACCGGGACGCCTCTCCAGGTGGGACCTTCGGCCGTCCACGTCACTTGCGGCGCCGTGTATCCTCAACGAGACCCTCCTATCTTCACGGGCTCCACTGAGTCGGATGTCGAAGATTGGTTGGCGAGGTACGACAAAGTCGGCGCAAGTAACAAATTGGACGACCCAAGTAAGCTGGGCTTTGTCACGTTCTACCTTGCGGACACCGCGCCACTGTGGTTTAATAACCACGCAGCTGACATTTCTACGTGGTCTGCATTCAAGACTGCTATTACGGATGTCTTCGGACGACCTGGGGCACGGAAGCTTCAAGCCGAGCACCGTTTACGTCACCGTGCGCAGCAACCAGGCGAGACCTACACGGGCTATATTGAAGATGTGTTGCATCTATCCAACCGCGTGAACTCTATCATGCCTGAGGAAGAAAAAATCAGGCACATTTTGAAAGGCATTGACGACGGCGCCTTTCAGATGTTGCTCGCGAGAAATCCCCCCCCCCCCCAATAGCTGTGCTCGTTTCTCTCTGTCAGAGCTTCGATGAGTTGCGTAGGCAGCGCGCAATTGCTCGTCAAGCCCTCACGACGCCAGACACGCTCGCAAGCTTGCACCTAGCTGCCCATCCTACCGATCAGCAGCCGCTGCTTTCTACATTCAAGGACTTCGTCCGCGAAGAGGTGGCGCAGCTGTCACTGCTGCCACTGACACATGAGCCCGCGCAAGCTTTGGCACCGGACCTCCAACACGCCATTCGAACCCAAGTCGCTGAGGCCCTTGCACCGATGCATCAGCAACCACCTGTCACTACGCCTCTCACGTATGCCGCCGTCGCTGCTCGGCCTACTCAACAGCGTATGCCGTATGCTCAACCTGCCACGCCGCCCTATGTCGTGCCTACAACCCCTATTGCTGCGCCGTATCCCTACGCGAGATCTTCTGCTCCATTATACCGTCGAGCAGAAGCTTGGAGGACGCCAGATAATAGGCCCATCTGTTTCGCCTGTGGTATCGTTGGACACGTCGCCCGCCACTGTCGCCGAGATCCCCCTCCAGTTGACACCGTGGGCAGGCCAATTGCGTCGTCGTCTAGGACGCCATCAAGGTACACCACTGACGGTCATCAACCCTTCGCAAACCATCGGTCACCATCGCCCGACGACGCTCCCTGTCACCTATGCATCGTCGACCTGCTACAGAAGAGGGAAACTGATAGCTGCAGCTCCGGAGGCAACAGCTGCATACCATTCGAGCTGCTTAAGGCCTCCACCTTTCTCGCCGCAAAACGGGACCACCGCACAAGCGCTTATCGACACAGGAGCCGCCGTTTCCATAATCTGTGAGACTTTATGCCGCAAGTTGAAAAAGGTGACGACGCCTCTTTCGGGCCTGATGCTCCGCATGGCCAACTCGCAGTGCTAGAACCTACAGCTGTGTGCACTGCACGTGTCATTATCCAAGGTGAACTTTATGCCATTGAATTTTTTGTGCTGGCATCATGCTCCCACGAAGTCATTCTTGGATGGGACTTCCTTTCGCGTCATTGGGCCATCATAGATTGCTCACGTGCAGACGTTGCCCTTACACCGCTACAAAGCTCTCAGTGTGTTTGGCAGATTCTCTTTCTGAAGCTTACAATCTTGTCGTTGTTGCAGACACAGAAATAGCACCGAGAACATCCACCCTTGTAGCCCTGACCTGTACGGCCGCTCCTGCCGGAACTGTTTTGTTCACTCAGTCTGACGTATTTACCCGCCGCCGTAGCCTACACCTGCCCTTTGCCATACTCACCGTGGAACCCGGTGCTACCGCCATGCTCGTTGCGAACTCGCTATCGTCGCCAGTTACCTTACTTTGCGGAGAATGTTTGGGTAACATACAAGACGTTGACCTCTTGCGCCCTCTGGAGTTTGCCGAACACCCACCTCACCTCCATCTCAATGCTAATACGCCACCTGTGGCCACACTGCCCGCGCCAGACTCATTCCAGCCCTCTGTGGCCGCTGAGCTATCACCGACACAAAGACGCGAACTCTTGTCCCTTCTTCGAGAGTTCCGTTCTGCGTTCGATTGCGCTCAACCATCTTTGGGTCGTACAGCGAACATCACGCACCACATTGACACCGGTACTCATGTTCCTTTACGCCAACGACCATATCGAGTTTCAGCGGAAAAGCGCCGTATTATCAATGAACAAGTCGACGATATGCTCAAGCGTGGTGTCATCCAGCCATCGCAGAGCCCTTGGTCGTCCCCAGTTGTACTTGTGCGCAAAAAGAATGGGTCTATCCGATTCTGTGTCGACTACTGCCGGCTCAATAAGATAACTCGGAAGGATGTGTACCCATTGCCAGGCATCGATGATGCCGACTATTCGAAGCCCAATTCCATCAAGACGCTTCGAAGTTTTATCGGCCTGTGCTCATACTTTCGTCGATTTGTGCGGAACTTCTCTTCCACCATCACGCCTCTCACCAACCTGTTGACAACTTCCAAAGGCATTTCTGCTTGGTCAAAAGAGTGCGACGAATCCTTCACCGCACTTTGGCGGTTATTATCATCACCTCCAATACTACGTCATTTTGACCCTGATGCGCCTACGGAGGTCCACACCGACGCCATTGGTGTCGGTCTTGGTGCTGTATTGGCTCAACGAATACCAGGATACCAAGAATACGTGGTCGCTTACGCGAGTTGAACCCTCAAGAAAGCCGAGTGTAATTATTCCGTCACGGAGAAAAAGTGCCTCGCAATTGTCAGGGCTTTGACGAGGTTCCACCCATACCTTTATGGCCGCCCTTTCGAAGTCGTTACGGACCACCACGCTCTATGCTGGCTATCATCGCTCAAAGACCCGTCGGGCGCCTTGGTCGTTGGGCGCTTCGCCTACAGGAATACGACATTCGTGTTGTATACCGATCCGGCCGCAAGCATTCCGACGCTCACCGCTACTGGCTGACCCAACCACCTCGTCACCTTCTTCAGCTGTCATAACACCAATCGACTTCACAGACATGGTATCGGAACAACGCAAAGATGTGTGGATTTCCCAACTCCTTGCCTTTCTGACTGATCCGTCAGCTAATTTGGTCTCAAGAACTATCCGCCGTCAAGCCACACATTTCGCTATTCGAGACGACCTCCTCTATCGGCGGAATTACACGTCTGAAGGTCGGAGGTGGCTGTTAGTGATACCCAACCACATGCGTTCGAAAATCTGTACAGCTTTCCACAACGACCCGCAAAGCGCTCACGCCGGCACTCTCAAAACTTACAACCGTCTACGTCAGCGGTACTACTGGCGTGGCACGTACACATTTCTTTGCAAGTACGTACGTGCTTGTACTGCATGCCAGCGACGTAAAGCCCCACCTCAATGCCCTGCCGGTGCACTTCAGCCTCTGCCTTGTCCAGCGCGTCCATTTTACCGAATCGGTATCGACTTATACGGACCGCTTCCCACGTCGTCTCTTGGAAATAGGTGGATAATTGTCGGCGTGGACCACCTCACGCGTTACGCGGAAACAGCAGCACTACCCGCAGCAACCGCGAGGGAAGTTGCGTTTTTCATTTTGCACAACTTCGTTCTTCTCCATGGTGCTCCCCGCGAACTTTTGAGCGACCGGGGGCGTGTTTTCTTGTCTGACGCCATTTAAAGACTTGCTCGCTCAGTGCAACATGGTTCATCTCATGACGACAGCATATCACCAACAGACGAATGGCCTCACAGAACGATGTAATCTTACCCTCGGCGATATGTTGACGATGTACACAGCTTCAGACCAGACCAATTGGGACACTGTCCTTCCATTCGTCACGTATGCGTATAACACCGCTACGCACGAGACAACAGGGTTTTCCCCTTTCTTTCTGTTGTACGGACGCGAACCATCGTGCACGCTGGACACTATCCTCCCATACACGCCCGACTCCTCTGAGTACACTGCAATTTTAGATGTTGCCAGGTACGCAGAAGATTTTAGACGATTGGACCGTTCACTGACAACCGAGGACCAAGGCCACCAGAAGCTACGGCATGACACCGACCGACATCTCTCTACTTTCACGACTGGTGCTCTTGTTTGGCTCTGGATTCCACCGAATACTCCTGGCCTTTCCTCAAAATTACTGGCATATACCACGGGCCCTACCGCATTCTCGCCCGTACGTCACCAGTCAATTATGAGATTGAACCTTTGACACAGTCTCATGACTTACGCCGTCGTGGCCGAGAAATTGTGCATGTGAGTCGCCTGAAGCCGTATTACGACTCCGCTATAGTGACTACGCCTTAAGTCGCCAGGTTGGCTACGCTATTCACTGGGGGCCAATGTAGAAAACTATGCGAACGACGACGAAGAAGCAAGAAATGGCAAGCCACAGCGTTGGTGCACACGCGCGACCCGAGCTTGCGCTTGTCTTGTATTTTCGGCCTGTTAACGTTCCTCGCTCTTGTGGCGTTCCCTGCCTTCCAGTAGGTCTATACGTAAATAAACTACGTGACAGTTAGTACATTCGAAGGTTTATAAAAAATAGAGCTACTAGGACTCATTAAAATAGGCTCGGAATAAAAAAAAGAAAGATTAGAAAGCCACAAAAAATGATGGTTCTCCGTAGGACAGAAGGTTCAGTATCTTTAGCCGCAACGAGGGCCACTCCAGCCCACGTCTTCTCTTCTCTGGCCCCGTTTGATTACGTTTTGCCACCAGTGTTGCGGAGGGACCACTCCGGAATG